GCATTCCCCAAATCCCTCCTTTTTATTTTAGTAATTCCTTTTTATCCATTGAAACCTCCAAAGAGAAGTTTCAGATTCTGCAACTTAAATCACGTCCTGGGTGTATACAGGTAATCCTTGACTTAACGACCGCAATTGAGCCCCAAAATCTATGTTGCTAAGCGAGACCGTTCTTAAGGGAGTTTTTGCCCTCTTTTATGAACTTTCTGGCCAAAAAGAAAGTGAATCTCAGCAGCGGTTAAATTAACCACCCGGTTGTTAAGTGAATCTGCCTGTCCCTATGGCTGGCCAGAAAGTCGCAAAAGGGGAACATGTAACACCCCCCCCCTCCAGGGACACCGCAACCGTCATAAAGATGAGTCAGCTGCCACGCGTCTGAATTTCGATCACGTGACCACGGGGATGATACCACGGATGTAAGTAGAAGAGCGGAATGTTGGAGGGGAGAAATGAAAGTTGGAGAGGGAGAAGAAAGGGTGTATGGAGGATTGAAGTGCTACGTTGGTTTTCCATGGTGGAAGATGAGTTGTGTTTATTGCTCTTTTTTTGAATGCACAGCATATAAGTGATTGTATGAAATGAAAATGAAAATGGAATAAAACAGTTTTCAAACGAAAGCAAAGGGGATGCTGTATTTAGGACAGTGTTGGCGAACCTTTTCAGCACTGAGTGCCAAAAGGGGAGCACATGCACACACAGGGGGAGGGAATGTCAGAAACTGGAAGAGCAGTTCCCAGGTGCGCATGGGCACACCGGGAAGCTGCTCTTCCGGTTTCCGGCACTCCTGTGTGTGCAAAGACCAGCTGGCTGGTGCCCTTGTGTGTGCTGGAACTCGAAAGAGCAACGGGCGACAGCTGGCGTGCCCGGAGAGATGGCTCTGCATGCCACTTTCGACACGCGTGCCAGAGGTTCGCCCTCAGGGATTTAGGGGATGGTTTTTCAGATTTGACTTTAATGAATTTTGAATTTGATTTCAAATTAATGGATAAATAAATAAAAACAGTATCACAAAGTTATTCTGCTTTCTGAATTGGAAGTCGCGAGCCATGAACCCCACAGGGAGACGATTGGAGGTTGTTCTTGCCATGCGGTGGATTTCTGGAGTAGGAATTCTGTCTGGCAGTTGATAGTAAAAACTTACACATTGTTTAGCATGTCTGGTCCCTGGGGCAACTTGGTTTCTTTTTTTTCTCCTGCTTGTCTTATCAGAAAATTGAAGAGCAGAAGAAGTGGTTGGATGTAGAGATGGAAAAAATCCTCAAGCAGAGGCGTGCCCTGGGTGAGCTGGAAGATGAATTGACCAAGAGAGAAGCCATCGTCGCCAAGAAAGAAGCTCTCCTTCAGGAGAAAAATGATCTGGAAAACAAGAGACTCCGGTCTAGCCAGGTGGGCGAAATTGTCCCGTTGCTTTTGAGTTACATTATAGCGATCAACCTTGGTTAAGAAAGTAGATTAAATGAAAGACGGCCACACGGATAACTTGTGTAAGAGATGCTGAGCGAATGAAGAACGAAGAGCCGCGATGGCGCAGTGGTTAGAGTGCAGTACTGCAGGCTACTTCTGCTGACTGCAATTTGGCAGTTTGAATCTCACCTGGCTCAAGGTTGACTCAGCCTTCCATCCTTCCGAGGTGGGTAAAATGAGGACTCTGATCATTGGGGGCAAGAGGCTGACTCTGTAAACCGCTTAGAGAGGGCTGTGAAAGCACTGTGAAGCGGTATATAAGTCTAAGTGCTATTGCTATATATACAACATATATAGATTCCTAACTCCTCTGCTACGGTGATTTAACTTTAAGCTGTGTTAAACGTGGGGTGACTAGCTCTGAATCAGTATGTTTTAAGGTTAGGCAATTCTAATGATGCCACAGTGCAATTGTTTGGACTTGACTTCAGAAGTTTCGGAACATTGAGAGGTGTAAGTACAACATCTCTCTGCAGCTCTTTGAAGCAGGTGTATCTTCCTGGGATCTGTTGACATTCTCTAATTCTGCTTTCCTGGCCTGTTTTCAGTAAACATTTATTTTCCAGGAGTTATTGAAGTCTGGCAAATTTGCAGACTCCAGTTCTGACTGTTGGGCACTGAATGTTCCTTAAGATCTTTTTCTTCTCTCTCTGCCTCAGGCTCTGAATGATGACATTCTTCGTGTCTCCAGCCGTCTGGAGTACTTGGAGAAAGAGCTAACCCAGAGGAGTGGGCAGCTTGGTCACAGCAGCGCACAGGACCAGCAGCTCATAAGGCAAGAAATTAATAATTTGCGGCAGGAGAAGGACCAGTTGCTCAAGCAGAGGTTGGAGATCGATGAGAAATTACGTCAGGGCACCTTGCTGTCACCTGAAGTAAGCAGATCTGGTTGCTCTGTTTTGAAAATAGATAACAACCCCATTGCACACACACGCAAAAAACCCCAGATGCAAAATCCATGTTTGGTTGAAGCATCATGAAAGTTAGTAAATGCTGTGCCACTCCATACAGATAATTCTCTATGGAGGTTTCCCTTTGTTTTATCCTCGCAACAGCAATTCCATGAAAAAGATTGGGTTGAGATTACCAAGTACACTTAAATTGCAATCATTAGGATGATCAGGTATCTTGGAGTTGGTACTGAACCATGAATATCATTCATTTGGGGACTTGGTGATACTTTGGAAGAGGAGTCTCCAAACTTGGCAATGGTAAGACTTGTGGGCTTCAACTTCCAGAATTCCTCAGCCATCCATGCTGGCAAGGGAATTCTGGAAGTTGAAATCCCCCAATCTTACAGTTGCCAAGTTTGGAAATCCTTACTTTAGAACATGATCTCCCTTTGTTCTGTCAGTGGCCATAACAGTAACTGTATTATAGGAAGGAAGGGAAGGAGGGTGGAAGGAAGGCATCGTGGCACGACAAAACCGCGCTCGACTAAACCGCGCTCGACTAAACCGCGTAGCTGACGTCATCAACAGCGCAACAACAGCGCGAAGACAGAAGCACGCTGTAAACACTAAACCTAAAATTAACACCTAAACCTTACCCCCCTAAACCTAATCCTAAACCTAAACCTAACCCCCCTAAACCTAATCCTAAACCTA